AACAGACCTGAGGCACACAGTTATGGGCAGACAGATTTATCGACGAACGGTATAGCATGCTATCGAGATTCAACAAACATACTACTACTACTACTACTATTACTACTACTACTACTATTACTACTACTAATACTGCTGCTGCTGCTACTACTATTAATTCTTTTTGTTCTTCTTTTTCTTTTTCTTCTTCTTCTTCTTCCTCTTCTTCTTCTTCTTCTTCTTCTTCTTCTTCTTCTTCTTCTTCTTCTTCTTCCTCTTCTTCTTCTTCTTCCTCTTCTGCGTTCATTAGAAGTTGTAATTGCGTTGTTCCCATTTACAGCAATGCTGCCATTTTTGCTGCTTTCTACCGACACATCCGACTTCTGCAGGCATTTGTTGACCGGGTTAGCCTTCCCGCAAACGAACGTATAAACGAACGATCTTCTTTTTTTTGCCCGGCTCTCTAGCGAAGTTGGTTAAACCTGACGTTCGCGGCGGCCGGGTGACGAACTCCTTGTGGTCCGGGTTGGACAGATGGACAGGCAGACAGAGTAAAATTTAGACAGGTGAACAGATGAAAGGACGGACACGCTTCCGAGCAGAAACAGCAAGTGTGCCAGGCTAGAAGATAGATAAATTGAAATGCAGAAAAGAAGACGGATGTATCGACGGATGGTTAGGCGGAAAGACAGACAGACAGGCAGGTAGGCAGACGAGAAATTACCCTTTTATGGAAACATGTTGACAAATATATAAAGGTAAACATGCCCGGCACTCTAGCGTAGTTGGCTAAACCGGATTGCGCGGTGGCCGGTTGACGAACTCCTTGTGGTCCAGGTTCACTCCCGGGGGTAGGCAGAAAAGCCACATTTCTCCCAGATTCACGGTATTTACAATGGAATCAAGGCCAAAAGGTTGCGATATCTATAATACCGAGCTTAAGGGTTAACAACTCATTTCTTCTGGATACTAAAACAAACAAACACAGAGGTAAACATAAGGACAAACGAACAAAAAACATTCGGATAAAAAAAGACAGATGCGTGAACAGAAGAACAAACATATGGACAACAAAACATAAGCCTCTATGCGGCGTTTCGCCTCGTCTGAAACATTCACATTTTTACTAGGCTCGCCATTGCCGTTTCATGTTTCATCTGGTGCCCTCTAAGAACACTTCCCTGCCCAGCGTCAACCGCCAAGTGAGTGCGTCCGCCTGACTACTTGAAAAGAGGGTCGCAACTCAAGGACCGTGAGCGTTCCCAGAGACTCACTCCACTTTGTAAGCGGTGTTCGCTTGTTGAATCTTAATCACAGGGTTGTGTTAATGGTTTAGTCCAAGCAAAAAGTCATAGGGGAGCCAGGATGTTACATTAGTGGTCTAGCAGGGGCGCCAGAGTGTTTAGCCCCCCCCCCCACCACCACCCTCGCCCCCACCCGAAACAAAGTTATTTCGGTGGGGGGGGGGGGGGGATTGAGGCCTCGTCTCTAGAAAATTCTCAAGGAGGCAAACTGACCCCTTAACCATATAAAGGAGTTATCTTTTTATGTATCTGCTTATAGATTGCATTTTAAAAATATATTTATTTCTTATTCAGCCCATAATATAAATAGTAATAATATGTGTTGTTTGATGATTATTATTATTGTGAACTTAAACAAAGCTTAAACTCTTTGAGGCATACCCCCTCCCTCCACATTAAACCCTTAATACAAACATAAGGGGCCTCTGCTCCACCCCTCTAGAGATTTCTTTGTGGCAATGCTTTTGTGTTATTATAGTTGTTGATTTTGTATTGTTGTTGTTATTCAGACACAAAAGTAACTTACTGATTGTTCACAATCACACAGGCGGGATATGGACGGGGGATTGAAACATACATTGATTTACCATAAGTAACTTAAGAATTATTGTTAGCAGGATGTTAGATGCTGCCGACCCTATGAACAGGTAGCTACTTTAAGTTAAGCCGGGATCAAGTGAATAGTGCCACAGAAATTCTTTTCCTTTATTTCACCCCCAGCTCGGAGACTCCGAGATTTCGTGCAGAGTTCACGGGAAAGTCCAATAGTATAAGGGTGTAGGGGTGTGAAATAAACACCGACTAACACTAACCCTAACCCTGACACCCCTATAGTATTGGACTTCTCCGGGAACTCCCACGAAATCTTAGGGTCATCAAGAATGGGGTGAAATAAAAGGGGAGAAACCAACAGAACAGAGCACATCTGCAGAAAATGATACAACAGTGGAGAGAAAACAGATGAACGTTTTAACAGATTGCAGCTGGCACTTTAACTGTGGACACTATTCGTTGCCTAAGGGGCTGCATGGTCTCGAGGTATGGTGTCCGCCTCGAGTGCTAGAGGTTCCGGGTTCAATTCCCCGTAAAGGCTAGGATTGTTTTCACGTGGGCTTGGACTTCTAGCAATTCCCTCTGGTCTCTGGGTAGTGAGATCAGGCGCCCGTGTGCATTGTTGCGCACGTAAAAAATCTCTTGGCAGATGGAAATCGAAAAAA